ACAACTTCTTCCAGCGATGGAAACCTAGCCAAATTTCCTGCAGAGAAATACCCAACAAAGGCATTTAATAGCAACTGTGGCAACTTCTGGAAGTAGTGACTCGTGTTCTTCAACAACTTCTTCCAGCGATGGAAACCTAGCCAAATTTCCTGCAGAGAAATACCCATCAAAGGCATTTAATAGCTGTTCAAGGTGAATGCGTATTGCTGTGGCAACTTCTGGAAGTACTGACTCGTGTTCTTCAACAACTTCTTCCAGCGATGGAAACCTAGCCAAATTTCCTGCAGAGAAATACCCATGAAAGACATTTAATAGCTGTTCATGGTGAATGTGTATTGCTGTGGCAACTTCTGGAAGTAGTGACTCGTGTACTTCAACAACTTCTTCCAGCGATGGAAACCTAGCCAAATTTCCTGCAGAGAAATACCCAACAAAGGCATTTAATAGCTGTTCATGGTGAATGCGTATTGCTGTGGCAACTTCTGGAAGTAGTGACTCGTGTACTTCAACAACTTCTTCCAGTGATGGAAACCTAGCCAAATTTCCTGCAGAGAAATACCCAACAAAGGCATTTAATAGCTGTTCAAAGTGAATGTGTATTGCTGTGGCAACTTCTGGAAGTAGTGACTCGTGTTCTTCAACAACTTCTTCCAGTGATGGAAACCTACCCAAATTTCCCTTCTCAATATTTCTCAATCACAAAGGAATTTTAGCTTTGAAGGAAGCCAATTTTTCATGTGCAATAAACACGTTTTTATTACTTCCTTGGAGGGAAATATTTAGTTCATTTAAGTGAGTAAATATGTCGGTCAAGTATGCTAGCATTTGCACAAGCTCTGGGGAATCAAATGAAGAAAAGAGATCCAACTTTTGATTCTTTAAAAATGTCTTGATCTCCTTATGAAGCTCAAATATTTGCTGCAAGACATGTCCATGGGATAGCCATCTCACCTCCGTGTGGTACAGTAGAACCGTGTGTTCAGAATCCATGCTTTCACAAAATGCTTGAAATAAACGATGGTTCAGTGAAAATCCTCTAATTACGTTAACATTTTTCACACATGTTGACAAAACGTCTTGCAGACTTTTTAGTAAAGTCTTCGCTGCTAATGCATACCGATGAAGCAGGCAGTGTGTGACACGGACCTCAGGAATTTCCCGTTTCATGAGGGCTGCAAATCCAGACCGATTTCCTAGCATAGCAGGAGTGCCATCTGTACATATGGAACCAACAATGTTCATATCCAATCCATGTTTTAAGAAAAATTATTTTATGAGGTCGAACACATTCTGGCCTTTTGTGGTGGTCTTTAGTGGTTCACAGAATAGGATGTATTCTAATACTTCTTCATTCTTGACATAACGAACAAGAGCAATCAGTTGGCTACAATGGGAAACATCTGTAGATTCTTCCAATTGCAATGATATTTTTACAGGAGTTGCCTTGTTCCAAGATGTCCTCGCTCATATCAGTTATTCTGTTCCTGATGACATTGTTAGACATTGGTACTTGTTGCACCTTCCTTTCTGCATCTTTCCCCAGAATGGTCTTAACAACTTCAAGGATACATGGCTTCACTAACTCTTCAGCGATGGTATAAGGTTTTTTCGCATTGGCCATCTGATACGCAACTTGGTAGGATGCTTCAAGAACAGGCTTTTCAATTGGTACATTTCATATCTTTGGAAGAGTTCCTAGATGATCAAAACGTGCCTTCTTCACCTTCAGTATTTTTTCATCGTGCTTCTCTACCACCATGTATTCTGTTGAAATGTTTGTTGAGTTTGGAAGGTTTCAAATTTGCATTAGAAAATATCACTGAACATAAAAATCATTGAGGTCTTTCTGTCTCACTTATCTCAGTTGTACATGTGAACCCAAAACTATAGTAATCATCGTTCCACTTTCTTTTCTTCGCCATTATGGATCTCTGAAAATAAAAAAATTATCATGAGACATAGATAGTAGGCATATGTTTAATAAAAAATTTTAAAACAGGAAGAAAGAATCACAATAGTGAATTAATTGAAGATCGTAATCAATATTCTGCTCCCGAATTTAGACAAATTATTTAGTAAAAATGGCAAATGAACACAAAAAGTTGTTTTTCTGGACCCTATCCTCGCACCCCCAAAAATTGGATATCGCACCCCAGGTTGGGAACCACTGCTCTAGGGGGAGTTCTTATTTAATGCAATTCCTTGCAATATGTCAAACTACACTTGAGATGGCTACTTTCTTGAGGTTTATTTCATCAATTATCTAAATGTTTCATTGAAACTTTCAGTTCTTCTGGACTATTGTTAGGAGGAGTTTGTAGGATCTGATATTTCCATAAATTCTTTCTGGTTCCTTTAGTAGTTTATCCACTACTTTACTGTTGCTGCAGAGCTTCCTTTAATAATGTTCATCTGTTATGGCATCTATAAATTGGTCATGTTCCAACTAATCCATCATTTAATTAGAATGGTAAGGTAACTAGGCAACCCATTTCAAACCTGTTGGATAAGGCAGCTACCAATACTCAGCTGGAAGTTACTTAATGTTGTTAAAGCTGGTTCTTTAAAATTGGCAGCAAGATTAATAGCTATTTCACCTGTTCACCCTGGAAATGATTTCAAACTGGGTTTGGTATGCTTTGCATTGAACGTTCACATCATAGTCCAAGAAGGTATTTCAGTCACAGATGGCACAGTATTGGTAATAAATGGTGTTTTTGGTCAAATGCAAATGAGAGTGTCTGGTTTAATCTGTACATTTACCATTTCTTTATCAAATGTTTTATTTTGTCACTGATGTTCTTTTCTACATCATTATCTTGCTGTGATAATGTTTTCATACTTTATTGATGTCTTTTTTTTTTTTTTGTACTTCACTTTTGTCATTCTTTACTTCATTAATTTTGTCATTACAGCCTTTCTTTCGTTCTGTGATGTCCTTCTGCATTTCTTCAAACCTGTTGTAATCCCTCTGTATGTCCCCTTATAGCTTCATCAATCTTCTTTTAACAATACATCTTTCTTATAACTCCTCTGTTAAATTCTTGTCTGTTAACTGTGTCTGCAAAATTAATAAAAAAATTGGTTGTGCTACAATGTAACAGCCTCTTTCATCACTTTCTTGTGAACAGGACATTTTTAATTTGACTCGACCATGTTATTTCAAATCTTGTTGTCTTCCAGTGCTTGACTTCCTGACCTGGCAACAGATGAAATACATTTTAGCCTTGCCAGTTGAGAGAAGGAAATGTTTCTATTAAAACACAACAACGGTTGATGTTGCAGATCAGCATTAATCTTAAGATGTGTTTGTCAACAGATGAAATACATTTTAGCCTTGCCAGTTGAGAGAAGGAAATGTTTCTATTAAAACACAACAACGGTTGATGTTGCAGATCAGCATTAATCTTAAGATGTGTTTGTTAAAAATATTATCTTACTGAAACATATAATTGTCTTTCTTCTCCTCAATTCTGTAATTATGAAGTTTCACCAGGTACTGATGGTTTCAAGTATTAATTATTAAGAAATGTTTACATGTATAACACAATGAAGGGGAATCAGTCCCCACTTGTGTTCAATATTTCTTACTTTCAAACATTTTTTTAAAGTTTTGTTTCTGTTGATATAACAACACAACATCTCAACAATAAAAATGTGTTGTTACCCTGATACTTCACTGCCCAGCAGGGTTGATAGTTGGGAAAATAACCCCAATTAGTTGAAATAAAACCAGTGGACTGAGGAAAGATCAACACGTGCAAAGGCAAGCTTGCTTGCACCTCCTCGAAAAACTGATGTGAAGGTGGTTGTGTCAAACATTTTTAAACCAAGGCAGTGAATGAAAAACAAAAATAGGTTGAAACACTGGAGACAAAAGAACAGTTTACAGAGAGCTTGGTAGATAACAGTTAGAGCAACGTTACATTCCTGGTCAACACTGAGAGAAAGGCAATCCATCAGTTGAGTGGGCTGTCATATCTTAAAATCATGCTGACCTCTTTTTTTTTTTGAGGTTTCAATGGCCTTCTGCCAACTTCTATGATCATTGGTCAAAATATATATATAACCCTAACATATATTTAAAACAAACTTAGTAATCCTCTTTTAAAATTTTCTGATATTTTTATGAGTCACAACAATGGACAAGGAAGTCGTTAACCCTAAATCATTATGACACAGGTGGTACATGTTTTACGTAGTTAGTAGCTACCCAAGATATGGTTCAGGAGCAAATCATGCAACATTTTCCTTACCTGAAAATGTGTTTCTAATAGATGTTCACACTGAATAGCTCACACATCTACAAGATTTGCACGCCACTAGCCTTGAGCTAACTGCCACCTAATAATCAAGTTATCACATAACATGAACTGTACTAGTGCATGATGACATCCTCATGCCACAATAGCCCTCCACCAATAAGAGGGTTGCACAACCTCCTTGTGCAGTAACTCCTCTTAAACACATGCAGATTCATCCATATGCCAGCCTGAAGAATCTCTTCCAAGGGTTGGTGAAAATGAGACAGTTGAAGAATCTGATGAAACAATGAGAAAGAATGATCACCTTCCTGATCAGTCAATGTTTTAGGAGGAAAAGCGTGATCTGAACAGAGGAGGAACAAGTACAGTGAAAGAGTGAGGAAGCATCATTGGCATATACATACAAATGATGACAACCACAAGCAAGGATGACAAAACTTGGCTTCAGGGAAAGAATGCATAATGAATGAAATATGTGTAATTGAGTGTAAAACCACATCAAAGTTCCAGCAAAGCATGGGAGTAGAGCAAGGAAGATGATGAAGAAGGAAGGATCAGAACAAAGTGGAGTGAAAAGAAGAAGAAAAACTTGAATGTAATGGGAAAAGTGAAATGTAGTGGGTAATGCCACCTAAGAATCAGCAATAGTGAAAACCAAAAATCCATGATCATACAACCATGTGAAAAAGGCTAAAAAGTGGGCCAGGAGAAGATGGCCCAGAGGAAGAGAGATCCTGATGGACTAACATCAACAAACCTGCCATTTCAGTTGATAGACAAACAGGGGTGAAAGATGACAGGAATGAGATAAGAAAAAGGCTACATGAATGGAGAGTCCAGTCCTGCATACAATGAACTAGATAAATCCCACATGTGAAGATAAAGGGATAATAGTTGGAGCAAGAAAATGTGGGAATGGAAAAGGAGGCCCAGATACCAATCAACAAATCAGAGGAAATCAGGACTGTGCCAGCCAAAGAGGCACCACCAACAGGATCTGACAAGAAATGTTACATATCCAAGCAAGGACACAAGGATGAGGAGGAATAGGAAAATAGGCATACAGAAAAAAAGAAGGCCTGTTATGGCTGAGAATACTGACTGCCAGGGCCAAAGAATGAGAAACTGGGGCCCGAAAGAGGGAAAGTCTGATGTTAAGAGTGGCAAAGGTATTGATGAGAAGCATGTATCCAACTGAGCAAACTCAATGAGAAACCTAAGAGTGGAAAGACCACTCTATGGTTAGTACCCTTTCCAGCCAAGAGAAGTGATCCTCCACCAAGTCAATGCCCTTTTCACATAAAAAGCCATGAGAATATGCCCAAAATAGCAGGTCCAATGCGAGGAAGCAGAGTCCTGGTATGGGTTACCCCCTGACAGTTGAAATAAGAAATGACTGTGGAATTTTTGGAGTAGATCATGACCAACCAATTCACAAGAAGAGGAAGAAAATGGGAAAATACCCAATGGATAGCAAGAAGTTCGAGGAAGTTGAAGTTCAGTAAATGCCCAAAGTCATGTAGTCATTCAGACACACCTCAAGCCTGACAGAGGCATCTGTGAAGAAATGGGCATGTAACTGGGGGCAGCAAGGAGATGCCTGTTGTGGTGTTGGAACAGTGAAGTCACCAAGACAAATCCTCAAGGAAAATGAATCCCAAGAAAGGTGCTACTGGTCCCACAACTTCAACTGGAATAGGCACATGTATACGTAGCTTAAATGAGTGAATGATTAAAGAGAAACCAGAAATCCCAAAAGCAAAAGAACCTTGTGTGGAAGAGAGAAGCACAAACCTAGGTAACAAGACATTCCATTGACCATAAACAACTGAGATTAGAGTGGAAGAACATGCCCAGATGTACCAAATATAGGGTGAGCATAAGAAAAAACTTGGAAGGCTTGATAAGCTAACCCAGCCAAGCAGCTTCCTGCAGAATGAATGCAGGTGTGAGAGAAAGAAAATGATTTATGCAAGGCTACCTCAGCCCAAGTCTGTAACGAGTCAGGAAGACCTCAGGGCAAAGAAATGGAGCCCAACAAAGAACACAGAGATAAGTGCAAGGGAGGCATACATTAGCTACGACAACATCCTGTCCCAACAGCAGAGGAACCAAGTAAGAAAAGATAGAGCAAAAGTATGGGCCATTGTGGTTAAAAGAAGAGAACCTGAGCATGATGAAGTGCCTCGGACATAAGATGAAGTGATGAGAGATAATGTAGAAGGGTGGTAAGAAAGAGACGAAGGTGCAAAAATTGAGCACTAGAATGATAAATCAAAGTTAAGAGGTGCATCCCCCAAACAGGTAAAATAAATTCCAAAGACTGGGAATTGAGAAATGGACAAAAAGAGTCAAGTAGGCAAAGAAGAAGAGACATGTTAATAGAGTTGTGTGTGGATATTTGGACTCTAATGTCAGGTGAAAGAAGGAAGACAAAGTAGTCTTGAGTATGGGTATCATGTAGTAAAGCAGAGAAGGAATCAAAAGACAAAGGGAAAAGAAAAGAACATACCTGCAAAATCATGGCAAACAGATTAAAAGAGAAAGGATTTTCTTATACAGATAAAGCTGTGGCTAGAGCAAACCCTGTTGGGGAAGGTAGTCTGTCAAAATCATCATCATATTGATTATGTTCAAATTGGAGAGAAGAAACTCGGCTGAATGGACAGGAGGAAGATGCCATTGTGCACGAAGGAACCCATATGTGTCCATCACAGACAACCGGCCTCACAAGGAACATCATAGCTAACTCATGACGAGGTGAAAATTAGCATCACATGACAAATCATAAGGAGTAAGCAGGAAAAACAATTGTTTGGTTTTCTTTAATAATAAAATAAACCAGGGAAACAGAAATTCTCATATAATTGATCAATAATTTAAAAGACACGTCTGTTCTAGACAATGCTGAGAAAAAGAAGATATTTCAAATACTTCTGGAAAGTACTGTACAAGGAGACTGTATTGCCCTCCTATTGGTGGATGGCTGTCATTGTATGATGATGTCTTCGTGCACCAGCACAGTTCACGTCAAACGTGAGATTTTTGGTGGGAGTTAGCTCAAGGCTAGTGGCATTAAGTTTGTATGAAGAGGTGAGGTATCGTCATATACAAGAACACTTTAATGGCTAGAAGTGTTAAATGTTTCATTATGTACAAGTACATACTCTGGACACTAAGTCTCATCAGTAAAACAAGTACAAAATGTAAAATATGAACATTTACTGAGAAATTTTCAGCCTTTGACGAAGTGCAGAAAAATGTAACTGTATAGAACAACAGTTTTCAATCTGTGGTCCATTTGAACAAGTTGTATAATTATGGAAAGGAAAGGGTAGCATAGTGCATAAATAGAACCATTTTGTAACTCCTTGGAATTCTTTACTGCATCTAGATAAAAGTGATAACTTCTACAAAAGGTTTGGGGAACAAACTTTTTAGTAATGATTTCCCCAATGTTTTAGAACCATTTTGTAACTCCTTGGAATTCTTTACTGCATCTAGATAAAAGTGGTAACTTCTACAAAAGGTTTGGGGAACAAACTTTTTAGTAATGATTTCCCCAATGTTTTAGAACCATTTTGTAACTCCTTGGAATTCTTTACTGCATCTAGATAAAAGTGATAACTTCTACAAAAGGTTTGGGGAACAAACTTTTTAGTAATGATTTCCCCAATGTTTTACAGATAGTTGAGAAACTGAATAGCGTTCTTTTCACAGATCTAAAATCACATGAATCGAGAGTTGATATTCAACATGGAGGGAACAAAGTCACATGCGAGATTGCTGCAGTCAGGCTTAACATAACCTATATGAAACCCTGATAATGACTAAACATTGTTATATATTGTGGGACATTAACAAGAAAAATTCCACATTTCCAACTTTTATATACTCAATAAAAATATCAGACCATTATTACATTTTTCTTTGGACTAAGTCATTAAATGTTTGTTTACTGTATTAAAACAGACAAATAACTTTCAACACCACAAGTTCACAGTAGTTTAGTCTTAAACTTTCAAGCATAAATTTTGTAAGTAAAACAAAGAACCCTGCATTACATGTATCCAATCATTATTAAAATTCTCTATAATCAGATTCACAAGGAAGGAAAGTCTTGACTACAATCTTAGCTCCTGGAAATTATGTACGATTCAGCTGAACTTAATTAAAAAACTGAGGGAAGAAGTGCTGGGTGTATTGTTCAACCTTACACTCATAATCTTATGAAAATAAAAGTTTTCTTTTTTTTTCTATGTTTAAATTACCTTAAAGAAATTTCTGTTGACAGAGAAGAAACTTTAATAATGAACTTATGAACACATCTATAGTAACTTTTAAACATCAACAAATACTACTTGAGATTAAATCTGTTACTAACAAATATATATAGTCATTTACTGTACATGTTTAGTGGGTACAACTAGCTTACTGTCGACAGTAGTCATCTTATCTACACGCTTAGTGGGTACTACTAGCTTACCGTCAACAGCAGTCATCTTCTCTACATGTTTAGTGGGTACAACTAGCTTACTGTCGACTGTAGTCATCTTCTCTACACGCTTAGTGGGTACAACTAGCTTACCGTCGACAGCAGTCATCTTCTCAACACGCTTAGTGGGTACAACTAGCTTACCG